CTCCCAAGACGCCCTTCCCAATGCCTTAGCAGCAGCAGCAGCAGCCCCATCACCACCAGGAGCAGATGAGCTTTCGAGCGGCGATGAGGGCGATAACGACGACGAGGAGGACCTCCGCCGACTCGTCGAGCCGCGCGGCAGGGTGAGGGCGGCGAGGGAGGGAAAGGCGTCAGGTAGCTGCATCAGCCACTCGGCTCCTCGATGCGGTGCCCGCGGCCTGTGACGGACTTTCCGGGTCCGTCCGGCCGTCGCGGCGCGTGCGCCGACATTGGGAGGGAAGGGAGGCGACGTCCTCACCACCAGCAGCTGCTGCGGCCTCCCGCCTCTCCCTCATGGCCGACTCGTAGCGATGCCGCAGGCGCATCTCGTCGCTCCTGGGCAGTTCTTCGCCATCCAGCAAGAGGAGTAGGAGCCCTTCGTCCGTGGCCTGCTGCTGCTGCGCCATGGCCGCCTCGTCCATGGGCTGCTGTGCAGCAGCGGCCGCACCGGCGCCTCTGCGCGGCCGTCGCGCGCTGCGGTGGCTGGACGTCTTGTCTGTGGTGGGCTGCGTGGGTGACCGGCGGCGGGTTGGCAGCACCTCAGCCGCAGCCGCAGCGGCAGCAGAAGCAGCAGCAGGGCGTGACGGGGGGCAGGCGGGGACTTGGAACTCCAGCATGTCTGAAGCACAACAGACATCGACGATGGGCTCCATTGCGTTGTGTATGTGTATGTGTCTGTGTAGTGTGTCTTGTCTGTATTTCGCTTACTTATATCCTTGTTGAGTTTGTTGATATCCTGGTGTAGCTGCTGGAGCCGTCCCTCCCGCTGCCGGATGGTCTCCCCGGCTGACGCCTCATCCCGCGCTGTCTGGCGGCGGCCGGCCTTGGAGGCCCGCAGCATCTCGATCTGCGCCCGCAGGCCCTCGATCTGCCGCTGGCAGCCGGTGAGGGCGATCTGGGCGATGCTGCGGCGCCGCTTCTTGGCCTCAGCCTGACATTCATCACGCAGGGAGATCTGGCCTTCTATCGCGCATGGCATGATGGTCTCTTGGCATTCCCTTACCTGCGCCATCCTCTCTCCTTCCAGCCGCAACGCGTCCACATCGCCGCCCAGGAAGGGCAGCGTCCGTGGCGCATCAGCCGCCCACTACCCACCTCCCGCCGCACGGAGCAGCTGCGGGAGAGGTTGCCCGCCTCCCACCGGTGCACTGCTCGGCCCTGCTGCAGGCACGCACAGGAAGAGTGCATTGATCATTCCTTGTGGGCATGTTATCATACCAGTGCTGGTGCGGCTTGCCCCCCTTGCTGCTCTGCTGCAGGCCCCTACAGACATACACAATGTACGTATTGAGATGTATTGAGGCCAGCAAGCTGCTCGTCTTGCTCGTGGTACCGTGGTGGTGGTTGGTGCAGGGGCCCTGGCGTACTGCCACCCCGCCAGGGACACCCCCTCTCGTCGCTGCACACACACAGGAGCATAGATCGGACATATGAGACTTCCTCTTTGACACCACCAACCACATGGGGCCCTTCTCTTTTCCTTACCTGCGAAGCGACAGACGTTCTCGCCGCCCTCTCCACCCCTCGCTCCCCCTCCCTCTCCCTCTCCCTCTCCCTGTCCCTGTCCCTCTCCCTCTGGCCTGCACACACACGAAGACGACACAGAAGCCATCCACATGCGTCTGTATGTTTGCTCTCTCAGTCTTCAGCACGTGCTGTCATCCCAATTTCATCCCCTCCTGACGTTCATCTGCCTCTCATCCAGCTCACCTCTCTCTCCATGCCCTGGACGCGAACAACAGCAGCCCATTGTCGTTGAGGGTGGTGCCGTCGTCAGCCGGTGAGCTCGTTGCTTGCTCGTTGCTCAGGTTTCTCCTTGGCGACAGCTTCTCCGATCGCTCGCGCGGATGATCGTGCTCAATGTGATCTCAAAAGTGTGATAGTACCAGAGAGGAGCGTCCTACTATGTATTGGGAGGGTCAGCCACCCGCTCTGAATTGCTGAACGAAGACGAGATGGCCGCCTCTTCCTTCTCGATTATAGCGGCCTCTCTGCTGTCACAGGCAGCGCTGTGAGTGGTAGATCCGGCGTAGGACGCAGCCGCTCTGGTGCAGGAGAGTAGCGCAAGCTCAGATACCGACGCTTCCTTTCCGAGCGGTGACGGCAGCCTGAGGGACACACACAGAACATACCACAGCCGTGTTCAGGAGCGAGGAGAACGCTGCTAATGATTCGGCTTAGCTCGCAGATCCTGGCCGAGGCGAAGAAGCAGAAAAGTGTCTTTTTTCACTCTCGCCGCTCAGCAGCACGCGTGCAATTTGTGAAAGCAGCAGGTGACAAGATGCCTCACTCAGCATCGCGTACAAAGGCGCGATTTGACTTACAAGGCAGGGCCGAGCCAATATTTGAAAGCTCCGACGAGCCAGAAGTGCGAGGACATGCAGAAGTCTGAAGTCCCACAACGATGGCCAGGAGAAGTGTCCAGCAGGAGAGCGGGATGTGTTGAGGGGACAACAGCAGTGCTGGTGTTGTCAGTGAGATAAGACGCCTCATGACGTCTGAGGGTGCCCCCTGAGCAGGCGTGTGGAGATATATGGCCTGGATGTATGCGCCGTGCTCGTTGGTTGAATGTCTGTCTGTCGTCTGCATGTCCGTCCATGTCTATTGCATTCACGTGTGCTGCTCATGAGCATCGTTTGTCCATTTCAGTGTCTGTAGCTCTTTACTGTATCATTACATCATGCATCATCGACTGTTCTTGTTTGTTCTGTGCCGCGGACCTCCATAGGCAGGAGCCCTGATACACACCCCATACGAACCATTTGAGTGCGACGACAGGGTTGCCTGGAATTGGTTGCATGCACGAGAGACATGGAGCTGGTTCCATCACCCACCCACCCACTCATCGTTCTTCCGGCAGTGCGTACGCACTCACGCTTCGCTTTGCACTGGATGCACTGAGTATCTGACCCAGAAGCATACATATCGCTGCTCACCCACGACCGTTCTCGACTACACGATGAACTTCAGCTGCATCGCTGCAAGGATGAATTGATGCACAAACATGCAGCCCCGTCGCTCATCCCGTCACCAACCACCAACGAGTGAGCTCGAAAACAGTAGGCCCCTCTATCTTTGTGGTTCCATCCGACTTCATTGCCGCTCCAGGGAAGATGGGGCAGCGTAATGTCACTGCAGGGGGTGCGGGGTTCTGAGACGGCACGTGCTGACCGATGTGGGGTTTAATGTTGCTGCAGGGGGGTTGGCCATAATTTGGCTTCTATGCGGACTGTGCGTGTGAGGCCCCTTCCCGCGACTCGCTGGCAGGGGAGGACGCAGCATCCGCTCTGATGCTCTCGCCTGCACGCTGTCAGGACCCACAAGATGAGTTCGACCGCGAGATGCGGGATCGCTGAACAGTCGCCGTTGGGTGGTAAATTTTGGCAATTAGGCTGGTGAGGCGTCTTGCGCCCATGGTCCAGCCTTACTTCGCCGCTCTCAACCTCAGCGAAAGTCAGGGGTGGCGATGACGATGGCCGCTCTCCCCGATATGGCCATCGTCATTCACACACACCCATGCACACAGCATCTGTGCACCGCACCCAGCTGTCCATGGCGCGTCCTTGAATCACGTCCGGTGCTGCTGCTGCTGCTGCTGCTGCTTGACCTGATTCACCTTCTGCACGTGCATGCGCATCGCCTCAAACACGGCCTCCTGCAGATGACCCTGTCCAGTCCACACATACAAACACATCACTCACATACACGATGTGTCCGTCCACACACCCATTCATATATGGATGTAATCGCTCACCAGGACAGAATCGAAGGCCGATGGGTCGACGGACCGGACGCGCACCACATTGAGAGACGACGCGTACTTGAGAAACACCCTGCACACAACACAACACACCACCGCCACACCATCACGTCTGCACTCACTCATATGCGCAGTACTGACTGCAGTGAGTGCATGTTGTTCGGTTCGCACCTCTGGATCGTCTGCAGGTTGCTGAGGAGCTTGTCGAAGTCGCTCCGTGACAGCCTCTTCCCCGCAGTCTCCAAAAGCTATACACCCGCAGCCAAGCCACGTGCACACATGGACCACCATCCATTCCACTCCCCCATCATGGCTCACTCACCGGTCCACTTCTGAGTGCCTCTTTGTGGTCTTCCCTCGAGCACACCACCAGGAAGGGCACCACCAACGCCTGAGGCAACCCGCTGCTGGTGCCGTTCCCACCATTCGACTCCTTGCCGCTGCTGCTGCCCGTGCTGCTGCCACTAGTCTCATATTCCAGCAGCGGCGGCCGCCTGAGCGCCGTCCTTCTGGTGGTGACGTGCCGAAGGACGCTCGACGCAGAGCTCTTAGTCTGGATGGGCAGGTGGTCATCGAGTGGCAGGTCCTCGTGAATGGGCTCTGATGTGTCGTATGGCAGCCTGTGTGACGCGGGTGGGAGGGGTCTGGGGGACGGGGGCTTGTGGTCGGGGTTGAATGGGGGCGAGAGGGGGACGTCTGGCGAGGGGGGCTCGTCAGCCTGGATGTCGAAGAACAGCGATGGGTTCAGATGGAGACCCTGAATGAACACACACACACACATGCATCAGGGAACCGGTATACTATAGGGTGTGTGTGTGTTCGTGCCTCGAAGATGATGGATTTGCCGTTGTTCCATGCCTTGTCGAGGTCCCCCTTGAGGCCGCTGCAGACTATCGCACTCGTCTCGTGGAAATGCGCGATCGCATCCTCGTCGCTGTCAAACACCTGCAGATGTACCCATCCACATACGCAAACAACACACAAAGAGAGAGAGGACAATGCGGTCTCTGTCCGACTGTCGGACCGTCCGCCTGACCGTCTGTGCATCGACTGACTCACCTTGCATCTGGGAATGGTTTTGCCATCCTTGTGGAGCATAAGGTCGCCCGCCACTCGAGTGGTCAGCACGTTGGGCACGTTGAGCCGCTCCGCCAGCTTCATCGCCAGAAACGACTTGCCTATCCCGGCCTGCGTCCACGGATGCATATCACACACACATCCATACACCACACCCATGGTAGATAGATAGGCACTTGGCGTACGCACCGTTCCCATGAGGAAGACCACGATAGCCTGGCGCAGGTTGAGAAAGGCCCTCACGCACCGGTACCTCTCCATCAGATCTGCAACCTCCTCTGACAAGGGAACATCCGGCGGCGGCGGCGGCTGCCGGGGGTCGTGATTGATGGTGACTGACAGCTGGTCTGAGTCGATGCAGGCTTGGCGGCCGAGGTCGGCAGATGACCGCACTGAGGTGGCAGAGTGCCGGTGGTGAGTGGTGAAGCTCAACCTGCGAGGAAGGAAGAGGGCACACGAGAGGCTGGCTGATCTATTCATGTTGCTTCGTTAGTGTTAGTGTGCTGACGGACCGACCTGTCGGCCTCTTCGAAGTGCGCGAGGACCCGCTCGAGGATGCGCTCGAGCTGAGTCTGGGTTATGTCCGTGAAGCCACTGTCCACGATCAGCCGCTTCACTGCCAATGCCACCTGCAGCGCATCCTCACTCTGCAACCAGCCACCCAATCATGCACAAACATACACACAACAGAACAGACAGATCTCTGTCTGTCTGCCTTGTGTTCCGCATTCATTCATTTCATGATCTGACTGAGATACCCTGAGGTATGCCGTGGTGAGCATCTGTGCCAGCAGCAGGCGGCTGAAGATGTAGAAGTGTCCCTCCTGTTCGTGGGACGAAGACCCCGACGCACCGGGCTTGCCGTCGGTGAAGACCCGCACCTTGGCAACGTCATACTTGGAGAATGGCAGCATGTGCACAACAGATCTGCTGCGGCAAAAGGCGAAAGAAAGGCGATCGCCGTATTTGCACGAGATGCGCTTCTGGGTTACAGACGCGGGTGTAACCAACCAACCATGCAACCGACGGCCAAACTTTCATGAGTGTGTGTGTGGCAGAGACAGCCAGACTCTCAGTTAAATGGTCTCTCAGCTAACTGCCTCCCTGGTCGGTGGCAGACGGTCGGGGCCCGCTGAACTCTGCTCGGGCAATCGACACGCACCTGTTGTAGCAATGGCGTCCACTTAGTACAGCACAGCATGCAGCCACGTGTCACCATCTGGTGAGATATCTGACAGGGCCCCACGCACTCATGCGGCCTGGGAGAAGAACTTGACCCCGTCATGGTCACTCGACGAACCGCGAAATATCTGCATGGATCAACCCAGACAGACAGAAAAACAGACAGGTGGACAGACAGACAGGTGGACAGTGACAGAATGACACGGCAGGACACCACGAGGCTTCATTCATGTGGCCGCACACCTGTGCCTTGCCCTGGCCCTCGAGTGCTTGCAGAGCTATCAACAGGATCTCGTGAGGCAAGCCGTGGAAATCTGCAACACAAAAGCAACGAACACACATCAGCCAGCAACCCAGCCACCAAGGTGGTGCGGGTCGTACGTGCCTGCTTGGCCTTTCTGCCTGCCTGACCTTGGTCTCTTGTGTCGTCCCCCTCCCTCAGCGAGAAGAGCGTTTCCACACTGTTCAGATGGCCTGAGTCAGACGCCTGCACGTCGCAAACGAACAAGAATGAATTAATGGCCCTCGTCCAGGTAGGTGTCTGGTTCGCGCGTCGAATGAATAAATGAACAAATCCCGTCCGTTCCTTTTGCTCTCTACCTACCCATCTGTATATGGCGGCGGCCCACTCCTGCGGCTTCCGCCAGAAGACAGCCATGCGGTTCTGACCCTCGTCCATCCACACACCATGGCCTGACGACCCCCCACACACACACGCAGCAAGCAAGCTGCACACAGACATGGGGCCGGCAATTGTGTGTTTCCTTGACTTATCGACTCCTCACCGTGTTGGACCATGTAGCTGCAGATCTTGCGCAGTCCGTCAAGCGTCAGCTTCCCTGCACACACGTCCCACCAGTGATTCAGTGATTCATTCATTGACTGTGTAGGCTCACTCACTCTTGGCTTTGGCATTGTGGAAGGGGGCAGAGTCGGCCATTCGCTCGGATATGTCGATGAAGTACTGCCGCTGCGCCCTGCAGTAGTGGCACACCACCTGCAGCCACAGGCTCAGCTGCTTCTCACGAGTCGCGTCGGTCGGCTGGATGCTGAACAAACAAACCAAGTGAATCAAGCAAGGCAGACTTGTGCACATGGCGTAAGCAGCATGGACAGATCTGTGCGTGGCTGTGTCTGTGCAGGTTCTCAGATGCCCCACGTGAAGAAGGGCGGCAGATCCCAGAACTCCGTTGGCGAACTCCACTGATTGGACTCCATCCGATGAATGAATTCACGTCGAAACTGCTTCCCACAGAAGATGCGAGCTGGAAACCATCTGCAAGCTTAGCTCACGGGCTCCTCTTGAGGTGATCTCGCCTCATCTCATCCCATTCGTCCCATTCTGTCTATGGAATCTCATCTGTGGCCGTGATCTGCATCCATCCGGCATTCGATGTCGCTACTGCGCTCATTCGACGAGCCCGACATCGATGATCTGGTGGTCCACGGCGCCGCCGACATGCCGTCCACCAACCCATGGACCGCAGATGCAGCGGCGCATCCGTCGGCATCCCTTAGTGGCGGCGGTCTCTTCAGCCCGCCTGCATCACACCCGGCCGGCCCGTCGATATCGCTCAAGCTGGTGCGGCTGGACCATTTGTTGAGTCAGCCGAGGGGCGGTGAGCGGGGCGGCACAGCTTTACATTCGGTGAATGCCAAGGGTGGGCTGCGGTGGGTGTGTGTGAATTCGCGCTGCTTCATGCTCGGGTTCCTGAATGGCGAGCTGTGGCGGTGGTGTCCCGATGACAACACACTCGAGATGATCGAACTCGGGGGTGAGGCAGTCAGTCAGTCAGTCAGTCAGTCATTCACTGGGGGAGCGAGAGCACAGTGGCGACGATCCCTTTCCCTCTCTTTGTCGTTCGTTCGTTCAGATCGTCAGGAGGCGTCGGTTCGTCTGAGCATCTCCAGGATATTTGTCGACCCGAAAGGCTATCACACGCTCATCACACTCGCTAACGGAGACAACTGGTCGGTCGACACACAGAAGGGGTTGAACCTCCACACACACACAGACAGACAGACAGACAGACACAGACAGACAGACCAGGGAGTCACATGACTGCATCCCTCTCTCTGTGTGGAGGTGCAGGTATCTGAATTACCAGTCCAGCCGCGCGCGTAGCATCGGCCGTCTGCGTGGCCACTTCATCGAGTGTGTGGCGTGGGACAGGAGCCCCACACAGACCAACACCCGGGAGATCCTCATCGGCACCAAGGGCGGCACCATCCTCGAGGCAGTCATCGAACAGCGAAAGGAGGTCGTCAAGACGCTGTTTGAGCTCCCCAAGAAGTCCCCCGTGGTCGACATATTCGCCGACGTGCTGCCAAACGCACCAGTAACCACACCAGACCAGACATACTTGATGTGGTCTCTCGCTTGCCGGTGATTTGAACATCGATCATCAATCAGACTGTGCAAGCGGACGCCCCCGCCCCCGCGTCAGCCCGTCGCCTGCTGGTGATTGCCGTGTCGACTCGCTACCTGTACACCTTTATGGGGACGGTGTCGTCTTACGAGCAGCTGTTCAACAAATACGCCAGCAGTGCGCCTGGGGGGGGCGGCGGTGGTGGTGGTGGTGGCGGTGTGGGTGTGGATGAGATGGATGCCCTAACATATGAGGTGGGGCGGGACCTCAGCCACGGTGAGCTGCTCATCGCCAGCGGACCGGGCAGGCACATGGAGTTCTTCTGGATGTCCGGGTGGGTCAGGGAGGCTGCATAGCTACCAATCTCACTCAACACCACACCACACGAGCGGACGAACACTTTCTTTGTTTGTGTGTGTGTGTGTGTGTGTCCTCCCTCCCTCCCTCCCTCTGTCTGTTTGTGGTGGTGTGTTGTGGTGGGTCAACCAGTGCTGGTGTGTTGCACACGTCGCTGCTGCCGTCCCCCACCCCACCGTATTCCATCCTCTCTCCCCCTGTTGTGCTGCCCTACCCACCCTCACCCTCCCCGCCCCTCTTCGTGTCGCCCACATCAGTGTCACAGGGTGCCACCACATCAGCAGTACAGTCGGCACCAATGGTGCACCGGTCGAACACGGGTGCGACTGATGCCGAGCTCAAGCTGCTCCCCGTGCCGCCCCCCGCACCCAAGAGCATGGCGCTCACCAACCACCACCTCCTGATGCTCTATGACGAACGGCTGCTCGTCGTCTCTAGAATCACATTCGAAAGGGTAATTGCATTGTGTGGGTTGATGGATGGATGGATGTGTGTGTGTGTAGGTGACGGAACATGCATTGCCTGCGCAGAAGTACGGGATGCCGAGGCGGCTGCTCAAGGACGCCTTTGACGGCACGCTCTGGCTGTACTCTGAGCTGTACTTATACGAGATCATCCTCACCAACGAAGACACCAACATCTGGAAACTATACCTCAAAAAGGGTAAGTGGGTGCGGGGGGGAGAAACGGACAGACAGACAGCACAGACAGACTTGTATCTGCCTGTGCAGGCGAGTACGACTCTGCCCTTCGCCACTGCCGCACCACCGAGCAGCGAGACGGCGTTATCTGCCGGCACGCACAGACGCTGTTCGACCAGAAGCAGTACACCAAAGCTGCGCAGGCACGTATATATTCAACACACGACAGACACCACACCACACCACACCACCCACCACACGCGCCGCCCACCTTCATTGCTTTCTGTCTGTCTGTCCATCTGTCTGTCTGTCTGTCTGTCTGTCTGTGTGCCTGGCTGGCTGTGATGCCATCAGAAGTACGCCCAGACGAGGTCTCGAGCGTTCGAGTCGATATGTCTGCAGTTCATGCAGGCGCACCAGGAGGCGGCGCTGCTCGAGTTCCTCAAAGCCAAGTTCCAGCAGCTGCGGCAAGGCGGCCAAGACAGCGCAGTGGCCACGCAGCCACCACAGCAGAACGCAGAACCAGCATCAGCCGCGCAGGCGTCCCCCCAAGAGGTATGGGCCAGCCGAATGCCGCTTCATGACGATGAATGCGGTCGTTCGTCCCTTAGTTCGTTCATCCCTCTGTTGGTTCGTTGTGCATCTGTGTGCCTATCGTGTGCAGGTGATGCTGTTTGTGTGGATGGTGGAGATCTACGTGCACCAGCTCAACGTCCTCGACGCCCACACCCACACTCTCAGGCGCACCCTCGCACACAATCGGGGAGGGGGAGGGGGAGAGGGCGGCTCCCCTTCGACCTTCGCGTTGCCGGCCGCCACGCCCGAGGAGCTGGAGTCGCTGCAGAAGCAAAGCCGCGCTGTGCGGGATGAGCTGTGCCACCTGCTCAGAGACTTCAGACACGTCGATGAAGTGCAGGTGAGCCGAGTCGGACGGGGGGCAATGCATATGCATGCAACAGATTCCCACCTCTCATGTCGCTGGCATTCTGTTGACCGTTGGTTGGTTGATGCAGTCGACGGTGTACCACCTGCTCAACTCCCAGAGCCGTCCGTCTGAGCTGCTGTTCTACGCCGAGCAGCGCAAGGACCTCGAGACCCTCCTGCTGCACCACATCCACCTCAGGCAGTACAGACCCCTCCTCAAGAGGCTCGCCGCCTTCGAACCGGGCGCCCTCCGGGACGCTCAGCTGCACCGCTTCGCCCCCCTGCTGTTCCACTACGAGCCCACCGAGTTCGTCAACCTCTGCATGCAGCCCTCCTTCAAGTCGCTCGACCCCACGCCGCTGGTCCCGGTGCTGCTGAGGGGCCGGGCCAGCGGCACTGTGCACCGATTCGAGGCTATCCGGCTGCTGGAGCACTTCCTGGACATGTATCACGCCTCGCAGAGGTTGAAGGGGCGGACAGCAGAGGAGGACAGCCGCGAGCACGACGAGGCCATCCTGGCCAGTTTGGGTCTGTCTCTGCCAGCGACCAATGGTGGCGAGGACCACGACAGCCGCCACCAGCACCCCGGGCGGCAGAGGGAGGCGGTGTGCGGCGGTGGTGAGGGGCAGTGGAAGGACATCGGGGGGGTCTTCAACGCGCTGGTGGTGCTCTATGCCGAGGACGAGAGCGACAAGGACGAGGCGGCACTCATCAGACTGCTCGCTGCACAGAAGGTGACTAGCCTAGCTCACGAGCAATGATGCCAGTCAGTCATATCCCTCCCTACTCTCTCTACGTCTGTCTCCGTGTGTTGTGTTGTGCTCACTCAGGGTGTGTCGTGTTTGCCGTTCGACGGTCCGTTTGCGCTTCGTTACTGCGAGGAGCGCGGTAAGCACCGTGCGGCTGTGATGCTGTACGGCATGATGGGGCGGCACCAGGAGGCCGTCGACAAGGCACTCGCCATGGGAGACCTGGAACTCGCTAAACACAATGCCTGCAGGTCAGGGAGGGAGGTGACAACACACACAAACAAAGGAGAGAGGGAGGAGAGAGGATGCAATGCATGTGACTGACTGACATGACGACATGGGCGGCTGTGTGTGTGTGTGTGTGTAGGCCTGGTGATGGCGAGAAGCAGCTGCAGCTTCGGAAGCGCCTCTGGCTGTCCATCGTCGAACATCAGGTAAGCTCATGCCTGGCCGTGGTCTCTCAAACACCAAACAACAACCCCTGTGAGCCTTTGCCTGTCTGTCTGTCTGTCCGTCCGTCCACAGGCGCAGCGTCAGGACGTGTTGAGTCTTCGGGAGCTCATGCATGACTCGGGCGGCCTGCTGCGGATCCAGGTGAGGGAGGTGATACACACGCATCGATCGCATCAACACACCCAGATGAACGAAAGGCGTGGGCGTAAGTGGCATGTTGTGTGTTGTGTGTTATGTTGTAGGATTTGCTGCCTTACATGTCGGACACAATTCTGATCGACTCCTTCAAGGAGGACATATGCGAATCGCTCGACGACTATGAGCGCAAGATACAACAACTCAAAGCGGTGTGGCCTCAACCAACTCAGCCACCCACACACAGACCTCTCGCTCTTACTCTCTGTCTGTCTGTCTGCCTGTCTGTCTGTCGTGTGTGGGGTGCCAGGAGATGGAGGAGCACCGGAAGGCTGCCTCCCAGCTGAAGGACGACCTCCGCAGCGTCAACCAGCGGTGCACTTTGCTCTCGGCCACCCAGCCATGCGACCTCTGCCAGCACCCCCTCTTCGCTCCTCCCCCGCCCTCCACTGCCATAGGCCCGGCCCCCTCCCGCCCCCCAATCATCCCCCAGAGCAACCGCCACAAGGTCTATGCCTTTCCGTGCGGCCACGCCTTCCACGCCGTGTGCTGCCAGAGCCTCGTGTACCCCACTCTGTCCATCGAGGCCCGCCACCTCATGGACTACCTCGCCAGCCAAATGCGGGAGCTAGTGTCCAAGGGGTCCCTCAACGCCGCGCAGCAGGCGCAGCTGGCGAGGATGGAGACCGATGTCGACGACGTCCTCGCCGAGGAGTGTCCCATCTGCGGCAACCTGATGGTCAAGTCGGTCCTGCAGCCACTGGTGCTGCCGGAGGAGAACCCAGAGGACCTCTCATGGCGCATCACGTCGCCACCCACCCCCTCGAGCGCCTCGGCTTTTGGCGGAGATGGGCACGTGACGCCCTTGGCCTTCGCTGCTGCGGACGGTCAGACGGGGGGGTCATCGAGGGGCGATCACTCTGGTGCGGCCCTGACGACGGTCACTCTGACGTCGCCCAGTGGGCAGACGTGAGAGAGAGAGAGGCAGGCAGGCAGCCAGGCCAGGGCGGGAGGCGTGCGAGGATGGATGGATGCGGGGATGGTGTGTATGTGTCATCGACAACGCGCCTGACTGTTGGTTGGGTCGATGCGACGTAGGTGCTGTGAGACGTGGGTTGATGGGCGATGTGCCATTCACTCATTCATTGATTCATTGGTTCATTCATCGCATGGAATGGACAGACTTGTTCGGTTCGTATATAAGCCATGAATTGCCATGAATTGCATTGCATTCACACACGTATCACATCCATGCAACATGCACATGCACATCGCATGCACTCATGCAGCCATCACGATCACCTCACGGCTATCAGCAGCAGCAAACACGGATCCAACAAACAAGTGACAGACATGACAGCCGCGCATGGTTTCACGCGGCTCACGCACCCACCCACCATCAGTGAGCCTCCCTCCCTCTCTTTGTGTCTATAAATCAGTCACTTCATCCCCGGCTGCAGCTTCCACCTCACACCCCTTATCCGCAGCGTACGCAGACGGTTGATGGCCGCACCCACCTGCACACACATAGAGTAGAGAGAGAAACACAGATAGACAGAATGCAGGACGGACGGACCGACGTCCCCCTCCGAGCTGACCTCAAATCGTCTGGGCAGCACAAACTCGCCGATGGGGTGGCCGAATTGGCTGAGGTGGTCCAGCCCGTTGTCACCGGAGCACACCTGGTCGATCAGCTCCAGCACCTCACGGACATTCCGCTGGCCGTCCAGGATGGCTCCCAGCGGCCCCCGGCCCTCGGCCATCCTCCGCATTGCGTCGGCGATGGCTCTGGCCTGGCCGGTCTCCACCAGCTGCTCCACGCCGTTGAGCTCGATGTCGGTGTCGCCGTAGCCGATGACACGCAGCGAACGAGCTGACACCTTCCCACTGGCTGCAGAAATGAATGAATGAATGATGGGGACAAGGAGGAGGAGGAGAAGAAAGATGAGAACAGACAGGGGAATGCTGTGGCGGTGTCCGTTTGTGTGTTTGTGGATGTGAGTGACTCTGGAAGTTGTTTGAGTCGATGATTCGGTGGCCGATGGACCCGAAGGCGTGGTGCTGCGTGGCGGTGGCCGTCTGCACCTCGTCGGACTGGTACGGCACCGGTATGTCCACCGTGATCTGCTTGGCCTCCTGGGTGACGTCGTACGGCCGGTACTTGTCCATCAAAATCACTGCACACACAACATGGGGGATACACACACACATGGCCATGAGTGGGTGTGGGCACGTCTGTCTGTCTGTCTGTCTGTCGGGGAAGTGTGAAGTGATGCTGACCGGTGTCAGCGACTTCAAAGAAGTCCCCCGATCCGCCGACGACCATGATAGTGCTGACGTTGTGCTGCGTGAGGAGCGGCTTGACCTTGTAGATGAAGGCCGTGATGGGCTCGCGCGACTTGCCGACCAGCTGCTGCATCCGACGGTCGCGAATCATGAAGTTGGTGGCACAGGTGTCCTCATCCACCAGCAGCGTCGTCGCACCTACAAGCAGGCGAACAAAGGCAGCAATCACACGCAGGAGAGACCCTCACCCACTTCAGGTCAGTCAGTTACCGATCTCCAGTGCCTCCATTATGTTGGCCGCCTGGCTGGTGCTGCCCGAGGCGTCCTCGCTGTTGAACCGGGTCGTGTCCTTCTCGAAGGGGAGGTTGTTGATGAAGGGAGATATGTCCACCAAATGCACCGATCGACCGTCCTCCGCCCTGATCTTGACGGCGTTTGGGTCGACCGCCACAAACTCACGGCCGTCACCTGGGATGTGGTTGTAGATGCCGACCTGCAGGGCCTCTGAAGATAGATAGATGGACAGACATGAAGAGATAGACAGTGAATGACGAGTCGCCCCGCCCCCTCCCCCGCTGCCCCGCTCACCCAGCAGTGTGCTCTTGCCGTGGAAGCCTCCCCCACAGATGAGTGTGATGCCCTTCCGTATCCCCATCCCCCGTATCGCCCCACGGTGCGGCACGTGCATCGTCAACTGCATCGAGGGCGGGCTCTGGAACACCTGCAGGTGGTTCTCCTCAGATGGTTTCATCGGCTGGTCGTCGGCGCCGCTCCGTCGGGGCAGCACTGACCCATCGGCAACGAACGCCACCAGGTCGTGGTCAGCGAGGGACTGGCGAAGGTGCTCCTGGTCCTCGATAGAGTCGAGGAAGGCGTGCAGGTGGGAGGCGTTGAGCGCGGCGTACAGGAGCGACTTGGCCACCTGACGACAGACAGTGACAGCGTGTCTTCACTCTCGTGTCTGTCTGTCTGTCTATTTGTGTATGCAGGTGTGCTTACGACGTGGGGCAGGTACTGTGTTAGGGTCTGTGCGGCTTTGTGGCCCTCGATGGAGCGCCCTTGAGCCTACACACAGCAGAAACGACATCCAACAAGTCATAGTGCGCACCCACCACAAGCATCCCTCAGCCACCGACCGGCAGAGCAATGGTGCATCGCGCCTCGACGAACTGGTCGTTGACCACCACGGCGCTCCTCTGTATGACGTGCTGGCCGGGCGTCTCCACACGGACGTCGCCTCCCTTGCTGCCGTGCCAGCCCCTGTTTTCTGCCGCATTGTCGAGGCCGCCAGCACTCACTGCCTGGCACAGCTGACGGGTCAGGTAGTCGCACAGAGCCACATTGCGGATCTTGCTGTTGTAAGCCGCTGCTGGGAACCTGCCAACCCACACACAGGAGTGCAGTGCCTGTCGTGCAGCAGATTGCAAGTGAGCGTTCTCTCTCTTGCTGCTCACTTTGCGACGGATTGCGGCACGCGAACTCTGAAGTGAGACGGAGGTGCGTACGGGTCAGACTGGGCCCTGTGTGTGTGAATGGGTGTGGTGCACGCCATACAGGAGAGCACCACATCACACCACATCTATATGTATGTCTGTCGGTCATATCTAGCTATACTTGTCGAGTAAGAGAGTGAAGTCGCCCATGTTCCACGAGCCGATCAGGTCCTTGTAAGCAGGATACGGACGACCTACAGCAAGCCACCCACCACACCACAACAGAACCGAACACATCATGACCCAACACCACACGCACTGACCGCGTGGACGTCGGCTTCCGCGTGCCTGCGTGCCTATGTGCGTACCATCGAGCCTCCGCAGCTCGTCGGCCAATTGAGAGCCGGTGCCTTCCCGCGATGAGTAGGAGTCCACCATGGGTTCGTCCTGCTGTTGGTGCCATCCGCCTCCCCCTGGCCCTCCTCCCCGCCCTCTGCCGCCGCCATAGCCCCCCTGCTGGCCGCCATACCCGTCTTCAAATGGCCGCTTGCCCCGACCGCGCCCGCCACCACCTTCCTCGCAAGCGACACAAGGCGATGGTGGAAGCTTGCGAGAGATGGTTTCTCGTTCCGGCACTCCATGGTGCACCGTTGCTTACCGTATTTGTTTTTGTAGTACCAACCTCGTCCCGACTGCAGCATCAGTGAGGGAGGACAGAAAAGAACATATCCAGCCAGCAGGAGTGCACACTTTTTTGATTCTGGTGCACGTGCTGTCCTGCACTCGTACCATGGCGGTTGTGAAGCGAAAAGCGGTAGTTGGATGAGGTAGATAACCGAGCAGGAGAACCAGCCGCGAGAAGACTGACAACGCTGCACGCATGCAGCTCAGGGCAACACCTCCTGTTCTAGATCTGAGCAGATTAACTCACCGATTGTCAGATCCAGAGAGATCCTGACCTCCTCGTGTGAATTCTCCGTCCCTCCTCCGCACGTTTCTTTCGAGCTCGCAACTTGCGAGCTTCGACGATGGAGCGGCAGCATCCAGGACTTCTGTGATGTGTGTTGTGTGCAGCTGTGGTGTTTGGCCTTCCCATCGCTGGATGAATCATTGCAAGAAGCGATCCGCATTCCGAAGGTAGCAGAGAGCACAGAGCGAGGAGAGAAGTTAGGGCGAAAGTTGTTTTTCGACGATCTGAGCTCGCACGAGGGAAATGGGATCCGGAAGCGATACTGTGAATCCCAATCGATGCACAACGATGTCCTGAGCACCTCCGGCTCACAGCTTTTCAAGATACCCACTGTGTCCTGAGAAACGGCCGGCCCCTCTCCCGACGGTACAGATCAGCGAGAGAGAGCAGAAAGAGGGCCAGATCTGGAAGAGAGAGAGAGTGAGACGGGGGGAGGAGGGAGGGAGAGAGGGAGAAAGGGCCACACACCACACACACACGTCCGTCCATTCATCCATCCATCTATCTGCCTGTCTGTCTGTGTGTGTGTTGGTGTGTGTTACTCCCTTCCCTGCAGGCGGTTTCCATATTCTGAGATGATGGAGGAGACACCGGATTGGGATGACGAGAAAAATGCCAAGATCGCTGCAGCCCAACCAAACAGAGTACGGGAACTGGAGCATGAACTCGAGGAGCTGCAGCGCCAGAAAGGGAAGACGGACGAAGAGAACGCAGCCCTTAAAAACGACATTCGGGCGGTCACGAATGAGAAGGAGCGGATGGAGACGGACACACAGAACCTGAGGCGGTGTAATAGCGAACTTCGTCAGCACCTGGAGTTGGCCGAGCAGAATGAGACTAATATCAGGGAGCTCTTACAGCAACAATCGACGGCTCTGAGCGAGCAGGTACGGTCCCGCTATCTGAACACTTTAAGCACACACTTGTCTATCACTCAAACATTCACTGGCATGCCTCGATTGCCGCGTTTCTGTCCCTTCTTACAGTTCCCACAAGTCCTGCAGAGGATGTCGAGGCTAGAAGAGAGACACGAGGAATTGAACAGCACTGTGATGACTGAGCTTCCTCGTCTCAAACCACCCCCCTCCCGCGCAGACGAGAAGCTCACCGAGGTGCTGCAAAAGCTCTGTCACTTAGAGGATGTCGAGGCTAAGATGACGGACATGCTCGTCAGCATGAACACGAAGGAAGCCGCCCAGGCATCGAGCCCCACTTCGCCCCGCAACAGGGCTGTCGTACAAGAAATCGTGAAGGAGCTGCGAGCGGGGTTCGAGGAGCCGTTACAAAGACTCGGCACATTGCCGGCCGCCTTCGAGGCAGAAGTGCAGAGGTTTGGCAAGCTGCATGGCGATATGGAGGGAGTATTGTGTCACCAAGCTGATGCCACCCAGCCGTCGACAGTTGACGACAGTCCAGTTTGTTCGATTGCCGAAGTGTCTAACTCTGCCGCGCTGCAGCGAGGAGGGTCACTGTTTGATGGGCTATAAGAGGCACAAGAGCAGGAAAAGGTAAGGGCACGTCAGGTAGACAGGACCCTGGACACAAGTGGCTCATTTCCGAATCTTGCTGTGTTCGGTGTTGTTTTCTTGATCCCCAGAGAGAAAGGGACGAGCTAGAAAAAGAAGTCGAACGTCTCAAAGAAGTGGTTGCAATCGTCTCAAAAGAGAGGGACACATTCAGGTACGAGCCACATTGCACTGCACCATTTGATTCCGTTGCATTTGGCCTTTTGGTTTCTCATGTACCCTTCAGAGACATGATCAAGTCAAGTGAGGCGGAAAGGGTCTGTACCATGGAGATGCTTTTTGGCAAACTGGATGTCGCCAACCAACAAGTGTACACTCTCAAAGCAGGTACACACATCACTCGCCAGCCACACGCCTGCAGGCCTAATCATGTGTCTCATGTCTCTCTTCCTCTCGTCTGTGTCTCCAGAGAGGATCAAGCAGCAGGAGCACTTTGATGAGATGCGGCAAATGTATCGAGATGAGACCGACAGCAAGGATAAAAGGTTGGCCGAGTTGGACGGCAGACTGCAGACAAAGGAGGCGGAGCTCGCCGAGCAAGACCGGCAGATAGGCAAGATGCGAAAGGAGTTGGAGCTGACCAAGGCAGCAGAGAGCCGTCTCGCCAACGCCAATGCCAGAGCGGCCGAGAGCGCTGCCGCCTTGAATAAGGAGAAGGAGGACGTGACGGCCCGCCTGGCAGACAAGGACTCGGAGGTGTTTGCTGCCAACGAGCGCGAGCGCGCTGCACTGGACCACGTGGAGGAACTGGAGGAAAGAGTTGCATCTCTCACGAAGCATGTGGCAGAGCTCGATGCTCAGGTAAATGGTGAAGATGGTCACTTCATGATTAAGATGCATCATCCAACATATTGCGGTGATTTTGGTGTTTCGTTTTTTTGCCTCATTGTAAGCTCGAACAGAAAGACGAGGCCCTCAGGAAGGCTCAAGTGGAAATTCAGCAAGAGAAGGAGGCACGCAGGCGGCTGGACGACGAGACACAGCAGCGGCTCACGACACTTCAAGCCCTCAATGATGACATTGAGGAGAAAACCAAAATCGCTGCCTATCTCCTTTGGAGAAGCAATCCGCACAGAGGTGCCGACAACGAAAGGAACTACTTTGAGGTACGGGAAGACGAGAGGGAGAAACAATCTGGCGTGTCTTGCCTTACCTTCAACTGCATGGACTTGTGCAGGCCAAAGCCAACGTGCTGCAGGAAGTGTTGTCGCACCTCGGGAGATGCCTGCCGACTGACTGACTGATTGACTGATTCTCCTCCTTGTAAGTCTCTATTGACATGACCCCCCCTTCACACGCCCGCACATCGTGCATCTTACATCTTACTGGACCGTACCTACCGTAAGGCTATATTTCTGTCTGTCCATCTGTCTGTCTGTCTGTCTGTCTGTGTGCCTGCCTGGCTGTGACGCCATCAGAAGTACGCCCAGACGAGGTCTCGAGCGTTCGAGTCGATATGTCTGCAGTTCCTGCAGGCGCACCAGGAGGCGGCGCTGCTCGAGTTCCTCAAAGCCAAGTTCCAGCAGCTGCGGCAAGGCGGCCAAGACAGCGTAGCGGCCACCCAGCCACCACAGCAGAACGCATTGCTCCTCGATTTGCCTGCCCGCTGCTGATCCTTTTCAAGTGTGTGCGTGTCCGATAGAGAAGAGGCCAGCCAGCCGAATGGAATTCGTGTGAATTCGTGTGATAAGCATTCATCTAACAAGTTGTATGTGTGTGACGTGCAGAGGCCATATGTCAGTCAGTCAGTCAGTGAGTCAATTAGGGCCTGCATGTGGCATCATATGTGTGAGTTGTGTTGACGGACAGCCGGCCGGGCTCACTCAATTCGACCGCCCGACCGACGACTGTGCGGCGCCTTTCAGAGGCGACTGACTGATCGACTGATTGACTGACTGACTCGTGTGATGATGGCCGTGTCTGCGCGTCTAGATGTGTGGCTGGCTGTATCCATCCTTGCAGTGTGGACACGTGTGTTGACTGCTGCGGGGGGCGGGCGAGGAGACATCTAGTGCTAGTACGGACCAACATCATGGTGGCCTGAGACGAATCTTAGTATGGTGGACTGACCGCACGTAAACATGTTCTGAACCACCGTGAACTCAGCGAAGGGCGTCCATCGTGACAAATTCTTGATGACGTCAATTTGCCATAGTGTCTCTTCCTCTCACCCCTGGAAAGACCGTCACACATGTGTCGCCCTCCTCCGCTCGGCAGCCCTTCTCTGCTTCAGGTAGTCCACCAAACTCACGGAAGCAGACCTCTCACCCCTCCGTCTGTCCTCTACAACCAGGGCTGGTGGCGGGGGCAGAGCCACAGGAGTGTGTCATGGCGTCGCTGTTCTTTGCAGATGGGGGGCTGGCGGGGGGATGATGAGTAAGGGAGGCTTTCGCCGGCTCATCACGGCTGCCTGCAGACAAAGCAGACATGACAAGTCTCCCTCCCCCACTTTCCGACTTTCCCACCTTCCCACCCACCCACCCCCTGCCGGTCCACCCGCCGACCTCCACCCACAGCACCAAAACACCTTCTCTGTGCGGCCGCCTTCTCTGTAGACCAATGTCTCACCATTACTCCAGTCAGCAGATATTCATCCTCGGTCTCATTGCTGTCTCGCGCCTCAATGCTGCGCTTGGGGTGGAGGGGGGCCGGGGCCGGAGCTCAGTACTTCAGTGTCTCCTTGCCATCTGAAGCCGTTGCTAGCATGTTTGTCGCGTGTTTGTCACGGAATTCAACCAATGGATATGACCACTGCAAGCGTGTCGATCTCTCTGTCCACACAGACTTACCTACATGTACCCGTGCGTCTCACGTGTACATGTAGAGACAGACAGACACTTCCCCCCCGGCCACAGGTGATTCCCTTGCCTGGTCGATGTGGCTGGTCGATGTACAGGTATTTTCACACCACCAACGCGGAGACGCACACAACACTACACAAGACACTTGCATTGCAGCAACGAGAAAGATTTTTCCGCTCTTCGTAAATGGCGAGAATCGCGGCGAGATTAGGGAGACAGGCTCCGCTCAATTTCGGTCTGATTTTGAGCTTCTCGCGGCTTCGTCCAGGTTTCCTCTTTCGATTCCGCATGCTCTTCCCACCTGCCATCCACAGCCGGAGCGTCGTCTGCGGCCCTTTCTGACCCGCCCACCCAAGGCCCAGTTGGCAACGGCAATTCCGCCCGCCAAGGAGCCACCTTCGCTCGACGACCTCGAGCACCCTTTTCATCAGCTCCACATCGAGGAGCGAAGAGGGCCTAGCCACTGCCACCCCCACCCCCACCCCTCCCGGCCTCCGCGTCCGCGTCGCACTCCTCGACAGGGAGTGGCCATGGCAGCAGCCCATCCTCCGCGTCGTTGAACTAGCTGCGTGCTGATAAGCATTCAGCTGACAAGGCTCACAGGGAAACGATGAAGGAGCTTATCGCGGCGCGTCGAGGCATCCAACAAGAGCAAGGAGCTGGAAGTCTGCCAGCGTGAGGCTGGTAAGACGGAAAGCAGTCATTCTTTCTCGACTCACTGTTGTCTCCTTCTTCCTGTCTTTCACATTCAGAGCGTGTGAAAACTGACATGAATGCTGCACACGCCGAAAACAAAGGACTACGCGAGCAAAACACTGCTGAAGTGGCAAAACTGCGCACGCAGGAGCAGAACCTGGAGCCAACTCTGATGCCACCAAGCCGTCGACCTCCGTCAGCAGTTCCCCCTCGATGGCCGATGTGGCCGTCCCCCCCGCGCTAGAGCGGAAAGGATCGTTGTTCAGTGAAGTATTTGACGCGGAATCGCAGACAAAGGTAAACCAGTCAGACAAGACACTGCAAAAGCCTCACTTACGTGTATCGACCTGGCGCTTCATGTCTTGACTCTGTGCAGTTGAAGGATGCACAAGAGACTATTGAGAATCTCAGAGGACAACCTGCGAAGGCCGCAGAGGAAAGAGATCAGCTCCGGACCATGACCGACATGTTGACTGCACGAGTCCCTGAGGTAGCTCTGCGAAGAGATGAAATCACTCTTGCGGTGGTGATAATCTGTTTTCCTTCAATCAGTTTGACAAAAAGCAGGAGGAGAATCAGGAGCAAATACTCCAACGATTGGTGGTCAGTCGCATGAAAGGACACAAGGCATACGGCACAGACATCACCGCGTAGCTGAACAAGTGCCAGCTTGAGCCTGGTAAGACGGAAAGCAGTCATTCTTTCTCGATCCACTGTTGTCTTCTTCTTCCTGTCTTTCACATTCAGAGCGTGTGAGAACAGACACTCGAGCGACGGAAGAGGCTGCAGCCAACATCGACGCACTGCAGAAGCAGAACCAAGTGGGTGAAAAAGATCAAGTACTCACTGCATCTCATCTTGTGGCTGTCGTACCTCTCTTCAGGATCTGAGAAGCCGTGAAGTTGCCATGAAGAGTAAGACGCAGCCATGCAGGACCTCGAGCGCGTCAACAAGACAGAGGTGAGCATTGGGTCAAAGGTGAAAGGTCAGAGGTCAAAGCGTGGGCAAAGGCATGTCTGTATCATGGCTCTCATTCATACAGAAGGCCATTCGCAAGCACAATGAAGAGCTCAGAAAAAAGATTGAGGAAATGAGCGAGGAGATGAAGACGGAGGTATCTGTAAGGGAAAGGCTGTCAGCACGCCTTTGCTTCACATGCATCCGTTTCATTTCTGGATGCGCTGCGTTCGGTATTGTGGGGACAGTCGACTTAGGAAATCGAGAACAAAACCAAAATGGCTGCGTATCTTCTGTGGAAAGCGATCCCCACAGACACGCCGACGACGCTCGGTCGCTTCAATGTCACTGCTCGGTCGTGCTCTGTGTGTGTGGTGCCGTGGCAGGTGATGCCGAATTTGGGTGTGTTGACGGAGGAGCAGGTCAAGACCAGCATTGGCAACCACGTTGTCTCCTTCCGCAACCTGCCCGACGTGACTGACGAGGAAATTGATTTCTACTTCCGGTACGTCAACCAAACATCTGCAGCCGTCTCTCTGTTCCCCCTCTCTCTCTCTCTCTGCCTGCCTGGCTGCCTGCAGTGGGTTGATGCCCGACCCCAACCGCCGCCCAAGTGCCTCTGAGCTGCTGGCCCACGACTGGTTCGCGCCTCCCCCTCCCCCTCCCCCGCCCCCAGCACCCGTTTCCGTTGCCGATATTCCTATGGCCCCGCCACCCAACAACGAGAGGCGCCAGAGACGCGCCGATTGGGTTATTTGCTGCTGCCGGACGGTGGCGAAGACCTCGCCACGTAAGCAGCACGCCATCCCGATGGCGCACCCGCCGCGCAACTCAAGGACATCGCCCAGCAAGGGCTCAGGGGGTTTCAGGCGATGGATGACGACGGAGGTTAGCTGATGAGATACACAGCTGATGTCTGCAAGCGTGTGTGACATTTGTGTGTCTCTCTCTCTTTCTCTCATTTCAGTGGCTCACTGTGACGTCAAGCCCAAAAAGGAGAAGCGCATTGAGGAGACGGCGGCCCCTGTGCTCAGCGGACACTTACACAACCGATCGTTCCCTACATTTTATATTGGTTGGATTTGTTTGCTGCCACGAGACGCTGCAATGAGTGACTGTCAACTAACTCCACGGGTGCGAGCAGCCATGGGTGAATGGATGGATGGATGGATGTCTCTCTTGTTGAATAGGTGGGAAGCGAGAAGGACAGAGGCCATCGCTGTCTACATTTATATTGGTTTGGTCTTTTTGTTTGTTGACACAAGTTCAACTGACTCGCCTCTCGGAGGCGGTGAGTGAGTCGGTGGTGACACTCATGCAGACTCGAACAAAGAGGAGCGCAGTTGAGGCTGGCTGGCTACAACCCTACCCATCAATCAATCAATCACTTTGTGAAGTGCCTGTCTGCCTGCCCCTCACTCACTCGCTAACCCACCCCGCCACCCACCCACCCACCCACTCACTCAAAACAACTCTCATATATGGGGACGGACAAAACGCTCTGCGGCTCTCGCATTGTCGCGTAGTGTTACAGATAGACAGACAGACAGACAGATGCATGTGTGTATGAGTGTCATACAAAAGTGAGGGAGGGAGGGAGGGAGGGAGGGAGTGCCGTCGGCAGCCCTCAGACTCATCCCATCGATCGTCAGGCAAAGAAAAGGTAAAGACATACATATCTATCTATGCTCACATCATCCCATCCGTCTATGTATCACCCCACTAGTCAGTCAACCACACGCCATTCACCCACCCCGCCATCAACCCCGTGTGTCGTTCGACAGCATTGGCAAACAAAACACCCCCC